ATATCAAGGGGCCTCATCTAGTCAGTGCCTTTTTGCTGGTGGGGACTCTCTATATATGCATGAAGCAGCAGAAGGTATGACATTGTGAAGGGACTGAGCATGATAATGTGCTATCTCAGGTTTTTCTTGCTCTTCCTAAAAAGCCACCAATTCCAGTACCATGATGATAACCCATTAATATTATTCCATGGATGGATTCATCCATTTATGAGGGCAGAGCTCTTATGATTCTATACGTTTTTAAAGGCCTCATCTCTCAGTATCAAGGATTAAGTTTCAATATGAGTTTTGGAGGGAACATTCAAACCATAGCATAGCACCATCTTTCCCTGTTACTATAGTTAGTACGTAGAGATTATTTTCATGCTTGCTACTTCATGGACAACAAGGTAAATACCAAAGTTCCAGATATGAGGAGAAAAAAAAGAGGTGTTGGTGCCAGCCATATAGCTCCCCTTTTATTAAGGAGCAAAAGCTTTCTCAGAAGTCAGCTCCCCAACAGTAAACGTCCCCTTACATTTCCTTAGTCAGGTATTGGCTAACTCTTGCTGCAAGAAAGGCTGGAAAAATGAGTATTTAACCATGCATATTGTTGCCCTAAACAAAACTGGTGTTCAAGTTGCAAATAAGGAGGGAGAAATAAATATAAGACAGGCAATTAAGAGTTTCTCAGTCACAGATAAGTACCATTATCATCCTCATTATGCAGAGAGAGAAACTGGGAAAGAGTAGTTATCTAACTTCCATAAGATCACATAGCTGACTAACAATAGAGCTGGAGTTTGAACCTAGGCAGTCTGGCTCTACCTTAGTGTTTATGCAACTTTCTTTGTAAGAAGTACCTTTGAGATTGCACCCCAGTAAAAAATATATATGATATATTCAAAATAGTACATGTCTTTTCTACCTACAATATTCCATTTTCAGCTCTACTTCTAATTCTCTTCTTTTTCCTTTCCTTCCATCTCCTCCCCTCCACTCTCCTACTCTCCTCCCCCGGCCTCCATTCTGCTTCCCTCCCCTCCTTTCTTGTATCCTATCCTGTCCTATCCTCTTCATCTTTTAAAATTCTGATCATGCTAAAGTAAACTCATGTCATGATCCAACAACTTGAAAATCATTTTACTGATGGCTCTGCTTCAATACAACCACTTCCATAGTGAGACTTCTGGGTTACCAAGAAAGAGTTTCTGGAGTTATGTCACACTCTAAGCTGCTGCTTGAAGTACTACAATTTCTTTCTTCCCTTTTGTCTAAATATTTGTTCCTTATGGAATCCGATCCATGAATGGGAATGCTTTATTTAAAGGTTCATGTTTTATGCTGCCAGACACAATTCCTGAAAAAACCACCAATGTTTCAATGAGGATAGCATGTATAACACTTCATGTAACAGCTGAAGCTGTTTGTACTTGTGGTTGGTTTGCTACCAGAGCTTAGAAGATCTAACCTTTTCCCCATCCCAAGAACATACATTTACAAAGGAGTATATATAATACCCATTCTGACAGACATAAGGGAAGTATCTACCTCTGAAAAGATAGGACAAAAGGCTTTAGGAAGGAAATGGGAATCAGGCATTCCTAAGTGATACGGCCTCTGGCTAGGTTGAAAGGGCAGCTTTAAATTCCCATGAGTGCCAGGGAAGGTACCGGACTTGCTGCTATGAGTAAAAGGAGTGACGTCAAGGCAGAGTTTTTAAGTCTCATCAAAGGGTCAGGTGACGTAGATGATCCCATAATAAAGATACTTGAAGTGTCCCTGGTTACAGGAATGAACTTGGTTTTGTGCTTCATTCTTCCAGAAAACACATAGAAGGTTGCATACATCCCATAGGATGCTTGGGAATAGAACAGCAGGGATGGCAGGTCAACACTGGGTTGGGGTAAGCTGCCCCGAACCAAGAAAATTTTCTTTAGTTTGCAACCAGCAAACACACACACACACACACACACAAATGACAAGAGAGCTATGCCTGAAGATATCTTTTTACTTCTTTTATTGAATTCCATAAATATTTTCATAAGGCTTTGTGTCATTACAACATATTTTTCTTAAACTTTTTTTTAAACACACAACTTTGACATTTGTTTGACAAGGTCAAACAGTCAGATAGAAGAAACAAAAGAATAAACTGGCAAATGCAGAGCAGCAGGGGTAATCAAAATGCCCATCCATCCACCCCCAGCCTACCCCATCTCCAAAGCACTAAAATATCACTATTTGGCTTCATACTAGAACTATCAAAACTCTCTTGTTTCTGTCCTTATAGATCCATTAGACATATACACATAGAGAGAGGGGGAGAAAGGGATAAAGAAGAACTATATTTCTGACTTTAGGACTTCCCCACAGCAGGTCCCATAGAATATACTAGCAAAGCTTTTGGAGAGTAAATTGAGGCCTCACTAAGTTGAAGAAAGGAGAGCTATGGACCAGGCAGAAACAGGAGAATTACAGAGTTCTTGGGGACAGTATTGTTGTGAGGACATAACAGGTTTGGGCACTGTGCCCAGGTAATTAATTGGGCTCCCCTTGGGGTTGTTGGCCACTGGTATACTTTGCTTCCATAGGCTAGGGTGATACTCTAACCAATGGAGAACTGATTTCTTGTTATTTACACAAATTACTGGCATCTGGTAAGGTCAATGAGCTGGGTAGAAAAGTGGAGGTCATTCTGGAGCCCTAGGCACAGGCCCCAGGGAAGGGGCAAATGAGAAAGTGTATCTAACAGATGTTGTAGACCAAGGGACTTGTCTAAGCATTACCTACTGGTGTGTTGCCAAACCCTAGAAAAGCATGTCAAGGGCAAGCCTAGTAAGGAGGAGCACAAAATAGAAAAAAGTACTCTAAAGGAGGCCTGCACAGCTACTGAAACATACTCTGTTTTCCAGGGAGGATGTTTTAGCCTGTGTGCTGGGTGGAGCTTAAGTAGCTAGGTCACGTGCTGAGCAGTGGTGGCCAGTTCAAGTCCTAGCCTTCTACTCAGCTCAGGCTCATATTTTATTTACTATACAAGTCTGACTTGGCTGTAATTGAAGGGAAGCTTACGCAGTTTATAATTTGATTTCCACAGAGAAGAGTCCCAGGCTAGGTAGTTCTCATACAGCTGTGGTTGCTGCTTGGTAAGGTGAAGTCCTTTTGTGATGAAGCTTCTCCCTTATACATCACTAGACAGGCTTGCTCGCCAAAGCCGAGATCATCTTCACTCCTTTATACCCCATTCACCTTGCTGTGAAAGGTCCATCCATTTAAGGATCCATATGAAGAAGAGAAACAGATATTCCTGCACCCATAGGACACCTGCCTTTTTGTGGAAGGGGTTCATTTTACCCAAGGAGAAAGCCTGCCAAAAATGAGCCTGAGGGTAGCATCTCTGCCTTATATCTTACCAGAAGGCAAAGTACCCCTTGGACCCTCACTTACTTGCCTCATATGTCTTGGAATGAGAGGATGTTGGAAACAGGGCCTCCTTCAAGTACCAGAGCTGTTTTTAACTATGCCAACATCAGTAATCTTCCTGTGCCAGGATGGTGAGAGAAAGAAGAAAAACAGGAAGAGGGAAAAGAAGGAGCGAAGGAAGACTGTTCATGCAATCTATTAACAATGGAGGAATTGTCGCACAATTAGGGAGGTAGAAATTGCAAGTATAATATCTAGGATCAAAGTTGTCTCTTTCCATGTCAATCCCTGTTTGTTTGTTTGTTTGTTTTTTCCCCTATAAGAAGTTACTGTCACTTTTTACCCTGTCCACGTCAATAACTTGAAGGCAGCTGATGATCTTGGTCAGATGGGCTCTGTCTTGAACCCCTCCATAGACTCCTATCAATGCTGCCTGAAAAACCTGCAAATGAGGCCTGTGATGACCAGGAGACAGAACTGTCTGTGAGGGAACCATGTCTTATACCTATTTTTTACTGGGGGTAGGCAGATAAATCCCTCCTTCAGGAAGCAGATTCTCAACCTCTTTTCTTCCAGTTCAGATCTTTTGGGCTAGGGGAGGAATAGTTCTAGGAAGAGACCTATAACAAAAGCATCTTGAAAAAGAGAATAAGTGTCTTAAACTGACTTCTGAATGCAAAACTGCAGTGAATCAGCAGTGCTACAAAATGGGAACCCTTAGTGCTAAAAGAAATAGCCCAAATGCAGAATGTTCCCTAAACAGAAGTCTCCTCTAGCATCATTCTATTCTGATACTCCTTTTCTTTTGTTTGTTTTTATTTGATTCCTCCACAATGCCTAAAACAATGCAAAAGCAACAGGAATACTTAGCAGTTATATCACAGGGCACAGCAGACTGTAACTGAGGACAGAGGATGTGTGGCAAAGGCTATTAGGAGCAACTTTAGGGGTGTAGGAACATTTACAGATGATTAGCTGAGGGAAAGGAAAAAGGGATCTTTCCTTTTCTCAGTGAAATGTGAAAGAGGGAAAAAAGAAATTCCAACACCCCCAAATCCATCACATTAAATTAAATTCAGAAGTTATTAGCATCAGTATGTATCATCAGGAAAGAAATAATCAATGCAAACATATCAGTGGTAATAATGACAAGTCAATGAATCACTCACAGGGGAAGAAAAGAGATCATCTCAACAAGAAAAAGGAACAAATAGAAATGTCAATTTCTGAAAGGAACAAATAGAAATGTCAATTTCTGAAAGGAACAAATAGAAATGTCAATTTCTGAAAGGAACAAATAGAAATGTCAATTTCTGAAAGAAAAGGAGAAGGGGACAGGGTAAAAACTGAAAATTTATAAGAAGGGATCACATGTTTGGAAGTTCCTAACAGCTACAGATTTCACTTCCCCAAAACAACAAATTTTTTTGGTCCTTCTCTTTCTCTCTCTCTCTCTCTCTTTCTTCGTGTGTGTCTATCTCTTCTCTCTCTGCATGCACATGTGTGTTTGTGTGTATGTATGTGTACTCAATGGCCTTTGTGTTGATATATGTCCATGTATATGTATAAATTTCAACAGTTCTTCTCCGAAAAAAGGTCCATCTATAAATATAATTTTATTTACTTTATTTTAAAATTATCTGCCTCCCTATAGGTATTATTTTTTGAAAGGGGTTAACCTGCTGAAGTTTTGCCAAAACGGTGACTGGCTGCGTTTGGGTTCGGTGAATTCAAAGACCTGCGACTGAGCGATGCCATCGGGGACCAGGTACTGGCCCTGGTTTAACGGGTCTTGTGGTGGTGGGTATGAAGGAGGAACTGAGCGGGCAGAGTTGACACCTAGAGTAGATGGGAGATCAAAGCAAAGGGTGTAAGTTACATCACAAAGGGTTTCTCAAATTACACAGTGACTACTCTGGGAAGATATAGTTCAAAGCAGATTAGTTTACAGAGTATGAACTAGTATTGCAAATCATCCAAGGGGAAAATTCCTCTTCCTAACAGATTTTGGAATCTGTTGTGTGGCTATTACTGAAACCCCTCATACTTCCACATCTAGTCAGGTATCATTAAGCAATCTAGGGTATTGCCATCAACCCTTTTATAGATAAGGGGATTGAGACCTGGAGGGAAGTGTCACAGTAAGTTAGCAAAAAAGCAAGCCTGGAACCCACACTCTTTGACTTCTCACTTCAGAGCTCTTTCCAAGAGATGTTAATCCTTTATGTAGGTTCTTGGTCCTGCACAAACCCAACAAACTCCATTTAATTCCAAAGGACTTTGTTTTTCTCCATCTCCAACTCCACCCTAGAAGTGTCAAAAGAGACTAAGAAGTACTGACTCCAAGGAAGAACTCTAAGGAAAAAAGGGAATAGTTTTCTAAAAGCATAAGGTACAAGTAATTTACTGTCCTCTCCTGGGTTGACAGTGGTGAACTTTTATTTAATAGGGAATTGACACTGATAGTTAAGGGAGAAAGCAAACTTATCACCATATGATTAATGGTGATATAATCATATAACTTATCACTTATATGATTAATGAAAAGTGGAACAATACTTGAAATATATTTGTAACCTTTCAAAGGGAATAGCTTCAGTGACACTAAGATTAACGACTTTCTTAACTTCAGTAGGTGGGTTTCATTAATGTGTGGGCCTAAAGTGAAAATTTAATCCTGACTTTGTCTGGGCATGGATGTTCATGCCTGTACTCATTAACACTCTGGGAGGCTGAGGAAGGATTATTTCTTGAGCTCAGGAGTTGGAAAGCAGCCTGAGCAAGAACAAGACCCCATCTCTACTTAAAATAGAAAAATTAGCTAGGCGTAGTGGCATATGCCTATAGTTCCAGCTACTTGGGAGGCTGAAGCAGGAGGATGGCTTGAGTCCAGGAGTTTGAAGTTGCAGTGAGTTATGATGATGCCTCTGTACAATAGCAGAATAGGATGAAATATAGAGCATATGACTCAGACATGTAAGGAAGGTGTCCCTGCAATTCCCAAATACCTTCCTTATCTGCTTGCCAGTGTCTGAAATTCCAACACTGTAGCTTCTCTGTAATCCCACTATCCTGGAAAGAGTATCATCTTAAGGCATCATCAGTGCTAATTTCACTTTTTTAAAAAAAGGTCTATTTGAGATCAGTATTGTAGTGGTATCTCATTGTGGTTTTAATTTGCATTTCTCTAATGAGTAATGATGTTGAACATTTTATCACATGCTTAATTATCATCCATATATCCTCTAACATAAAATAACTGTTTGCATATTTTGTTCATTTTATAATTGGAGTATTATTGTTGAGTTTAGGGAACTCTTAATATATGCTAAAAATAGTATTTTGTCAGTTATGTGGTTTGCAGATATTTTCTCCATCCTATAGGTTGTCTTTTCATCCTGTTCACAGAGTCTTTCACAGAGAAAAATTTTCAATTTTGATGAGGTCCAATTCATCAATTTTTCATTTTGTGGTTTGAGCTTTTGATGTCAAATCTAAAGACTTTTATGCTTGGCCCTATATTCTGCAGATTTCTTACTATCTTTTCCCTAATAGTTCTGTTGCTTTATAACTCCATGATTAATTTTGAATTAATTTTTGTATAGGGTGTGGGTTTAGGATCTTTGCTTTTTGCCTATGGAAATCCCATTGCCTTAGCATTATTTGTTGAAAAGTCTTCTCTTCCTCCAGTGAATTTTTTGTACCTTTATCAAAAAGCAATTGGGATTACTTGCAATTTGAAGAATCAATGTAATCTGTACCAAAATTCCAATGACATTTTTTTACAAAAATTAAAAAATCCTAAAATTCTTATGGATCCACAAAAAACCCAAGTAGCCAAAGGACTCTTGAAAAAAAGGGCAAAGCTGGAGGCATCACACTTCAAAATATACTACAAAGCTATAATAAACAAAACAATGTAGTATTGGAATGAAAATAGAAATGTAGACCAATGGAACAGAACAGAGAACCGAGAAATGAATCCACACATTCATAGTTAACTTGTTTTTGACAAACACACCAAGAACATATCTTGTGGAAAGGATAGTCTCTTCAATAAGTGGCACAGGAAAAACTTGATATCCATATGCATAAGAATAAAACTAGACCCCTAATCTCTCATCATATACAAAAATCAAATAAAAATACCAGTAGATTTAAAGACTTAAGTGTAATATTTGAAACTATAAAACCACCAGGAGAAAATATTGGGGGAAAGCTTCAGGACATTGGACTGGACAATTATTTGTTAGGGTGACTTCAAAAGAACAGGAAATAAAAGCAAAAATAGACAAATGGGATTATATAAAACTAAAAAGCTTCTGCACAACAAAGGAAACAATCAATGGAGTGAAAAGAAGACCTGTAGAATGGGAGAAAATATTTACAGAATATTGGTTTGATGAAAGATTAATAGCAAGAAAAAAGAATAATCCAATTAATATGAGAAAATGATTTAACTAGATATTTCTCAGAGAAGACATACAAATGACAAAGAGGTCATTGCTTAATGTCATTAATCATCAGGGAAATATAAATCAAGGCAACAATGAGGTATTACCTCACCCCAGTGAGGCTTTTATCAAAAAGTCAAAAAATAATGTTTGCTGGTAAGGATGCAGAAATGCTAGTGCACTGTTTGTTGAAATGGAAATTAGTAGAAAGTACTACCAGAAACAGTGTGGAGGTTCTTTAAAAAATTAAAAATTGAATTGCTATATGATTCAGCAATTCCACTGCTGGGTATATATCCAAAAGAAATAAAATCAGTAAATAAAAGAGATAGATGTACTTCCATGTTTACTGTAGCACTATTCACAATAACTAAGATATGGATATCCATCAGTGGATAAATAGATAAATAATGTAGTACACAGTATATATATACAATGGGATATTATTCAGCCATGAAAAAGAATAAAATTGAGCTGGGAATGGTGGCTCACAACTGTAATCCTAGCACTTTGGAGGCTGAGGCAGGTGGACTTCTTGAGCTCAGGAGCTAGAGACCAGCCTGAGTAAGAATAAGACCCTATATCTACTAAAAATAGGAAAAACAATTACACAATGTGACAGCCACCTATAGCCCCAGCTACTTGGGAGTCTGAGGCAAAATAATAGCTTGAGCCCAAGAGTTTGAGGTTACTAAAACTAGGAACTATAACATCATGACACTCTACCCAGGATGACAGAGTAGGACTCTGTCTCAAAAAAAAAAAAAAAAAAGAATGAAAAAAGAAATCTTGTCATTTGCAGCAACATGGATAGAACTAGAGGCTACCATGTTATATGAAATAAGCAGGATACATAAAGACAAATATCATATGATCTCATTTTTATGTGGGAATTAAAAAAGTAGATCTCATGGAGGTAGAGAGCATAATGATAGTTACCAGAGACTGAGAAGAACAAAGGCAGAGGAAATAATAAAAGGTTGGTTAATGGATAGAAAAATACAGAAAGAATAATTTCTTGTATTTGATAGCACAGTAGGGTGACAATAGTTAACAATAATTTATGTATACTTTTTTTTAAGTTTTTGGCAGGGGCTGTGTTTGAACCCACCACCTATGCCATATGGGGCCAGCACCTTACTCCTTTGAGCCACAGGTGCCATCCTACTTATACTTTAAAATAGCTAGAAAAGATTTGGAATACTACCAACATAAAGAAAAGATAAGTATTTGATGTGATTGATATCTCAATTACCCTGATTTGATCATTACATATTATATTCATGTATCAAAATATCATATGTACCCAATAAATATGTGTAATTATTATATATCAATAAAAATAAAAAATCAGGCATGTATTTCTGGGTTTTATTCAAATAATCTAATATGTTTACCCTGTCTACCAAAAGGACACTATTTTCATCACTGTAGCTATATGATAAGTGTTGAAACTGGATAGATCAATTAGTCTCACTATTCTTCTTTTTCAAGATTGTTTTAGCTATTCTAGGGCACTCACTGGATTTTATACTGGCCCTAAACCTCTGGAGATGGACACTGTGGATCAGTGGAGGAATCCAGGTTCCTGGGTGTCCCTGGGAGCATCATGTTTTGTGGTGGTGGCCCTGGGTAGCTCCATGTTTTTAGGCTGAATATAATAGATGGATGAGAAATTAGCATCTAGCTTTCAAGTTATGTATCAATTATTAAAATCCCAAGGCTGTGTGAAAGACAAAGGTAAAGGCCATTTTGGAACTAGATCTGGCCCTCTCTATGCTATTCTTTCAGCCAGGGTCCCCCTCACTGAGAACAGTAGACTGAGTTGATAATGCCTCATGATGCTGGAAGGGGACACTAAAGTAATGACTTATCCAATGACATCTCATTGGAGAAATCTTAATAATGCCCCCCTCGTCACTTCCAGGGATGGGTCATAGGAAGGGTTAAGGAAGCTAGCTTTTACAGTTATCTGAAAAAAACACCTTCCTGATCTTTCTGTGTACATGCTGTAACTACTGAATTACTGAGTTTGATAACCATTTCCACATGTGCACCATCCATAAGTCTAAAAATGTAACTATCACTCACTATAGCCCCAGACTAGGAGAATATTAAAGAACAAAAATAGAAATAAGAGAAGATACTTGTAGTAACTCTGGGAGATCAGAAACAAAATTAGTTTCCTTGAAGACAGTAGGGTTGCCATTAAGGGAAGAAAGCTGTTCAAGTGAACCAGTGTTTATCCTAGACAGACTATCTGGGGAAAGAACCTAACCCAAAGGCTTGGTATGAGTTAGCAGGAATATCATCTAGTTAACTTTGGGTTGCTTTGTGAACATTTCTTTGCTTGCAGATTTCTCACTGTGAAGTTAAGCCAATCTTAGATATCCTTGTGGAAATCTGAGCTATGTTTAAAAATTTCTTTTTTACTATGGAAGCTAGTATGATGGAAGAAGTAGAGGAAATCAGAGTGAGAGAAGCTCAGAAGGTGAGAGACTCCAAGATACAGAGGCTGGTTGCTAGGACCGTTTTACAGCCTGAGGACTTCTTAGCTGGCTAAGGCTCTTTTCCACTAATATTTTTACGAGTAAGAGGGACATTCTCTTATAGAGATCTCCTGTTACTACCATGTTTCTCTGAAAATAAGACACTTTCTTATGTTTATTTTTTTCTCAGGGAGACACACTAGGGTTTATTTTCAGGAGATGTCTTCTCATTACGCCAAAATGCATTGCATGGCTATGCAGTGTATCTGCATAGACCCTCATTGGCTCTTTCCTTCATCATTAAAATGGTATCCCTTTTAGATATGGAATTAAAGCCAGGGTGCTGCATAGCCACACCCATCACTAGGTCTTATTATCCAGGTAGGGCTTATATTTAACAAATGCATAAAAATCCTGCTAGGGCTTATTTTTTGGGGTAGGTCTTATTTTTGGAGAAACATGATATAGGTCAAATACTTACATTATCATTTCTCATATTTTAACACTCTAAAGGTCGGAGGTGCCTGGCTTTAATTCCCTATCTAAAAGGAATAACATTTTAATGATGAATGAAAGAGCCAATGAAGGTCTCCTAAGAGCAAGAAGTAATAAGCATTTTTTTTGAAGTAATAAGCATTTTAAAGGCATGTCTAGTTAAAAGGTCCCAGCTAGGTATACTGCTTCATTGCAAATCAAATATTCATAGGCACTAAGCATCCTCAATAAAAGGGACCTTGTAGTCAGAATAATTAACGGTGCATTATGTGGCTGCTAGAATTAAAGCAACTTGAATGTAATCATTTTATATGGTAACTCATTCAGAACCAGAGAGCTCACTGAAAACTAGAAAGATGAGACCTGGGCAAGTAAGGGTCTCATTAAGATTGTGCACCACTGGGACTGTCAGTAACTGAAGCAAGATAGAAAATGACCTCTTCTTTTGAGAATGGAATATCAACAGGACCCTGAGATGGAGAGGAGGAAGTAGTAGACTCTAAGTTAACTGATTTAGGTTCAGAGTCACTTTACCCAAAGACTTAGTTTCCTCATCTGAGAAATAGTGCTAATAGTGCCCACCTTCTCATGATTACCATAAAGATGAATTGAAAGAACTTAGGAGTGGTTGATACTGGATAGGTACTCTAATAAGTAGAAGGTAATTCCTTCCATTTATTCAGCTCAACATTTTAGTTCTGCTCTGGTTTATTTAAAAAGAGGGAAAAATGCTTTATTTATGATTTAAATTGATTTTCAAGGTATTTTTTAAGTACTTTGATTTACGATTCAGAGAAAGTGAGGATATTTCTGCTTCTTCTGTCTTGGTTCATTTTCAGGTTCTGTATTCTGATTTGAGGATTCCTTATGTAGCATGAACCCCCAAATCAGTGGAAGTAAGCTGAACACACATTCTCAATATATTTATTACTTTTAAATAAATTATACACATTTACTATTGTCCATCTGTGTCTAAATTATTAGCAGAAGTAAAGAGAAATGAGTTATATTGTCTTTCTATATTTATGAGCTATCTTTGGACACAACTACTCTATATCATTCCCTTCTTAGCATTAAGCATTAAAGACAATTTTTTTTACTTGTCAACAGGGACACCTGGGAACCTGGACTCCTCCAATGATCTAAGTCCCTCAGAAGAGAAATAAGCGTAGGTATATACAAGCACATAGCCTATGGCTCCCCAGCTTCACATAGAGAATGAGTAGGGCTAAAGAGCTAAAGGCAGCTTTACCTTTCTGTTTAGGGACTTTTCTCACAGTCAATGCAGCCTGCCTCTTCTGGTTTTCAGAGATTTCAAAGCCTAAAAAAGTAAAACATATGATTTTATTATAAAAAAAATATACTTATCGAATGTATAAATTAGTAAAACCTTTTTGGAAAAGTAATTTGGTAAGATGTATCAGAAGTCTTGAAACACAAAAAGTTCATTTCCTTTGACACAGCACTTCACTTCTAGAATTTCACTAAGCAAGTTCATCAGAAACTTGGACATAAATTTAGTTACAAAAATGTATACCAGAGAGCCCCCCTCCCTAAAAAATTGAAAACATAGGCTACAAAGAGGCTATTTATTGGAGAATGATTAAATAAAATGGAAGAAATATTTTGTAATGAAAAACAAAGATACATTAGGGAAATAAATGATGAGTCAAAAGATAATTAGAACAGAAAATGTATATTTATGTAATAAAAAGTTGCAGAAGGCAGAAAAATATCAAATGTAAAGTAGTAATAAAGAAGTAACAGAAAATTTGGCTAAGTGAAAGAAAGACACAATTTTGAAAGAGTGAAAAGACCTTTCTAAGTCCCAGTCAAAATTAAGATACATAGACATATGCCTAGATATTGACTAGTGAAATTTCCGCAATTCAGAACAGAGAAAATAATTTTATAAACTTCAAAATAGAAAAACAGTTTAATCATCAAATAAAAAGTTTAGATTCTTACTAGAATTCTCATCTGAAACACTTGAAGTAATAGCATTCTGAATAAACTCTGGATCAAAAGGAAATCATACCTGAAGTTACAAATTATCTAAACATAAGTAAAAAGGGCATTTTTTATATTACAAATTATAGGATTATAGTTACAAATTTACTCAAAGGAAAATGTACTCTAAATGATTTTATTAGCTTTTACAAATCAAAATAAATAACATATGCAACCAATGAAACAGAAAAAAAGTAAAAAAAAAAAAGGTAAATGCTAAAATTAAGAGAAAACAGAAATAAATTGCAGAAAGGAAAAATAAACCAAAGTAAATTCTTTGAAAAGACCAAATTTAAAGTAATGCAGCCATTATGGAAAACTGTATGAAGACTCCTCAAAAAATAGAAAATAAAACTCAGTAATCCCACTGCTGAGTATACATACAAAAGAAAGGAAATTAGATTATCAAAAGGGTATCTGCACTTCTATGCTTATTGTAGCATTATTCACAATAGCCAAGATAAAGAATCAGCCTAAATGCCTATATAAATGTCTTAACACAATAACTAAGAAAATGCCATGAAGGCTATGTTAACCAGTTTGGTGAAAATATTTCAAATTGTATATAAAACCAGCACACTATAACCCATGATTGTATTAAGGTACACAGCTATGATTTAATAAAAAAAAACAAAAAGTGTATTAACATATACAGTAGAATATTTTTCAGCCATAAAAAGAACAAAATCCTGCCATTTGCAGGAACCTAGATGGAACTGGAGGTCAGTATGTTAAGTGAAATAAACCAGACACATAAAGACAAATGCCACATGATCTTATTAATATGTGAGAGGTAAAAAGGTGGATGTCATGGAGGTAAAGAGTAGAATGTTGGTTATAAAACGCTAGGAAAGAAAGATTCAGGGTGGGGGAATGATGAGAGGTTGGATAATGGGTACAAAACTACAGTTAGAAGTAATACAATCTAGTAATTGATAGTACAGTAGGGAAATTATAGTTAACAATATTTTATTGTCTATTTTAGAATAGCTAGAAGGGAAGATCACAACACCAAGAAAAAAATAAATTTGAAGTGATACATATCCCAATCTGATTTGATCATTACAGACTATATACAGATATTAAAATACCACATGTAGCCTTAAAATATGTACAACTCTAAGAGAATGACATGAAGGTTATGTTAACCAGTTTGACGAGAGTATTTCAAAATGTATATGAAAACAGCACACTGTACCCCATGATTGCATTAATGTACATAGTTATGCTATAAGAAATAAAAAAAATGTACAACTATTATATATCAATAAAAAATAAGAAAACACCAATGATCCCTGATAAGCATGATTAAAATGAGAAAATTTTTAAAATTTGCAATGTTAGAAATGAGAAAAACAGAAAGGATCACATTTGTGGAAGATAGCAAAAAAATAAGATAAGATTATGTGCAGATATATAGTTTATATAAATTTGAAATGCAGAGAAAATTAATGATTTCTCAGCAAAATAGAACTATTAATAGTAATAAATGAACAGGTAAAGAATCTATGTGATGAAAATGATGACATTTTCTTGAAGAATATAGAATAAGACTTAATGTTAAAATTAAATAAAAGGAGAAAAGGGCCATGTTCCTGAAGTTAAAAACCCAATAAAAATGCCAATTCTTCACATATTAACAACTTTAACACAATGCCAATCGGAATTCAAATTATTGATTTATGACAGTGTTTGGGATAAAAAAGTGAATGTGATATTCATATCAAAGCATAAACATTGAAAAACTACTAAGAGACAATAAGAATTAATGAGAATTGATGTTACCAAGCACTAAAACTTTCTAGAAATCTATTATAATTAAAGCAGTATAATCTTGACACAAGAAGTGACAAACAGAATAGAAAGTCTAAAGACAAATACAAGTATATACACATATGAGAAAAGTGGCATTTCAACTGTGTTAGAAATATGTTATTTATATAAAAAATGATTGTGGTGAAAATGGCTATCCACCTGGGATTCCTTTCTTAAGCCTTAAACAAACTATAGATTCTAGATAGACTATAGTTCTAAAAATAAACCAAAATGTTTTTTAATTACAAAATTGTATAGTGTTGGTAAGGAGAGATCTTTTTAAGCAAGATAAACCTAGGAGCCATAAAACAAATGCTACATTTGTCAAAGTAAAAAAAAAAAATAATATTTGTAGAATTAAGTACCATGAACAAACTGAAAATACAAATAATAGGCTGGTGAAAACCTATAAATTCATGGGACAAAGTGTTATTATCCTCAATATAAAATATTTACAAATTTATTTTAAAAGAAAGACAAAAACTAAAAATGAGTACAAAGTATAAACAGGAAACTCACAAAAGAAGAAATCCAAATAACCAGCAAGCATATGAAAAAAAAAACAATTCAGCCTTACTAGTTGAGAAACAGAAAAATGAAACAAATGATTTCATACTGGGAATGCAGATTGTACAACTTTTTCAGAATTTAATATTAAAGTATGTATTAAAATTAAAACTGTTCATATCCTTATGTCTAGTCATTCCAACTTAAATTATCCTACAGGAATAAAAGCACCAATATGTAACAATAAGATACGTACATGGATATTTATTACAGTAATATCTGTAGTGGAGAAAAAAAAAAAGCTGTAAATAAATGACTAGCAAAAGGAAAATACAATCTGTCCGTATCAATAGATTCAAGCAACTGAGAATCTAAACTATTCCAAAAAAAGTGGATGGTTGTATTGTACTGAACACATACAGACATTTTTCATGACATTATTGCCTAAACAATACAGTATAACAACTATTTCCATAGCATTTTCATTGTATTAGTTATCATAAATAATCTAGAAGTGATTTAAAGTATGTAGGAGGATGTGCATAGGTTATATGCAAATACTACACCATTATATATAAGGAATTTGAGCACCCATGCATTTTGGTATCTGCAGGGATCCTGGAACCAATATTCTATGGACACTAATGGATGGCTGCAATTGTTACATAATGTGGAATGTTATACAGCTATTTAAAAGACAAAAGTGATGACATTACTGATGTGTCAATTTGACTAGACCATCATCTTCACTAATACAAGTATTGCTGTGAAGGTATTTTACAGATATAATAAAAGCCCTTAATCAGCTAATTTTATATAAGAGAGAATACCCTGAATTCCTAGGTGAACCTTAATGAATTGTTGGAAGTCCTTAAAAGTAGAACTGAGGTCTCTCCCGGAAAGAGAATAAATTTCATCCACAGAACACAGCTTCAATCAAGTGGGAATTTCATCCTTTTCATGATTTCTCTGACTGGACTGCCTGTAGAGGATAGGTTTGGACTATGTCCATGGCTTTGAATCTGCGTGCGATCATTCATTTCTGACTGCCTGTTCTACAGATCAAAGTAACTTTGTCATCCTTCACAATCACATAAACCAACCCCTTATAATATTTAGCATGACTCTCTTAATACTAATACAACTCCTAGTAGTTATGCTTCTGTGGTTGATCCCTAATTGACATAAGAAGTTATAGGCAGAGGGTATATTCTCTAACTAGAGTGTTACATATACTAAGTTTAAAAACATGGCTCGGTGCCTGTAGCTCAGTGGCTAGGGTGCCAGCCACATACACCGGGGCTGATGGTTTCAAACCTGGCCTAGGCCTGCTAAACAACAATAACAACTACAACAAAAAAAAATAGCTGGGCATTTTGGTGGGTGCCTGTAATCCCAGCTACTTTGGAGGCTAAGGCAAAAGAATCACTTAAGCCCAAGAGTTTGAGGTTGCTGTGAGCTGTGATGCCATTGCACTCTACCAAGAGTGACAAAGTGAGACTGTCTGAAAAAATAAATAAATAAATAAATAAATAAAATAACAACACCAAGTTACAGTTGGGTATACAATGTACACTATTTAGGTGATGGGTACACTAAAAGCCTAGACTTCTCCACTATATGATTTATCTATGTACCAAAAAATAATCTGTACCCTCCAAAATCTATCAAAATAATTTTTAGAAGTTATAAAGTAATATATATATAATTTTTATAATGATAAATAAAATCTTATGTGTGTATATATATTAATATGAGCATAAAGTAGGTATGGAAAGAAGCACACCAAAGTGTATCCATGATCTATGTGTATTTGACTTAATAAAAAAAAAATTAATATTGCTTACTCATACAGCATAGGAATGATAGAGAAAGGGAAAGAATGGTAAATTTTCACCATACACTTCCTTATGTATTTAAATGCTTATAATGGCCATACACTGATTTCATAATTAAAAGATAAAATTATGTCAGTGATGAAAGGTGTGG